AAATGAGCTTAATTCGAATGCCAAACGAATTGAACGCACATGTTCTCGTGCACCTGTCGGAATCCCCGTGAACCTCCAAGATATTCCTGAAGGACAGACGAAAGAAACTCTCGCAAGAGAACCAAGACACACGGAACCACGTTTCCGAATGTCTTTCTTGCCAAACTATTTTTTTAAATTTATTTATGTTTATTTATTTGTGACACCCGAAGTGCAAGTCTGCTCTGCTCCGCGCGACCGACAACAACCGTGACCAACTCGTGTTCCTATTTTTTTTGCACAACGAAGGTGTTACGGAATGTTGACCCAACCCTTCACCATAAGCAGCAGCACGTGAACAACCAGCCTTTCCAGCATACATAGGGACAAACCAAAGCCCGCCCCGTCAACACACACGTGCGCCGTTCGTGTTTGAGCCTGGCTGATATTCGGTTGATGTCGAATATGCTGCAACTACCCTAGCCCGTTCGCCCATTGGGACATCGAGCCAGCACATTCGCCCGCCGGTCTCGGCTTCATCAAAACAGACAACATAGCTACCTTGCCGCGCGTGCGTAGGCTCCGATACCATCAGTCCGAACAGGCCGGCCACGCGCACGATGATGGACATTATCTTTTCGAGGCTCTCCGGCGTGAGCGAGACGATGGCCGCGTCGTCAGCGTAGAGCATGTCCCACAGGGCCTCTGCGACCGTCACCATCATCGCCTTCTTCCCCGCCGACCTGCCCCTCTTGCCCGTGCACTCCACTCGTGTTGCGATCTTGATCATATCCGCCGTCACCTTGGGGTCCTTGTCGAACTCGGTCACTGCGACCATGCGCATCGCGGCAGAGAACAAGTTGAACAGCAGCGGGGCCAGGTTGCACCCCTGTCGGAGACCTTGGCCGACGTCAAACCATTCCGAGTACTGCCCGTCGTCCGTTCGAACCCGCGCCCTCATGCCCTCGTGGAAGTGGCGAATGACCGCCAGCATCTTCGGGGGCACGCCAAAGCGTCCGAGCACGTCCCACAGCAGATCTCGGTCCACCGAATCGTACGCCTTGGTGAGATCGACGAAGCACGCGAAGACCGCAGTACTCTTCTTCCTCGCGAGCTCATGGAGCCGCTAGATCGCGAACAGCATGTCGAGCGTCGACCGGTGTGGGCGGAAACCGCTCTGCTCCTCCGGGAGGATGCCCTCTCGCTCGCAGTAGTGGCTTAGGCGTGTTGCAACGACCTTAAGCAGCACCTTGCCGGCGTGTGCAACGAGAGAGATGCCCCGGTAGTTGCCGCACTCCATCGTGTCCCCCTTCTTGAACAGAACCTTGATGGTGGCGTCCTTCCACTGCTGCGGTACGTTCCCCGTCTGCCACACGTCCACGACGATGGCGTGGAATTCGCGGAGGAAGCCTCGGTCTCCATCCAGGAACAGCTTGATCAGCTCAGCCGGTAGGTCGTCCGGCCCGACGGCCTTCCTGTTGGCCATTCCCCGCACCGCCTCCTCAACCTCGAAAAGAGTGTGGTAGATTGGTGGAGATTCATGGAGATTCGTTTTGGGTGTTTAAGCGTTATGCGTGACTTGATGCCGTGATGGAATGACGAGCTCAAGCACGCTCCCGATGAATACAACACGTTTTTCCACACGTCTGTACGACTTTACCTACCCCTACGGCCCGTCATGGCCGAGCTGCTCTACACTCCCATCACACACAACTGAGCC